AGGGGGGCAGGCCCCAGGGAGGGTGTGGGTACACAGATTTGGGGAGACTTCCATCTCAGACCCTGACCTCCCACAGGCCAATCCAAAGCCCCTTGGAGTCAGCGAAGAGAAAGACCCAGAGCTGCCCACTGAGCAGAGCCTGATACCCTCCTAGGCGAGGAGGTCCCCCCTGCCCTGGAGCTTATGCCTGGGCTTCAGGAAATAAAGGCACTATTTCTGTACACCTGCCTCAGCTGTGTCCACGCTGGGGGGTTGGGGAAGGGGAGGAGAGGCCTCTGGGACTGGGTGAAGCTTTGGCCGCACTCGGCCTCTTGGCCTCAGAGGGCACTCAGTCAATGGTTCCCTCACCTCCCAGTCTCTGGTCTGCTCACCTCCAGGACCCACTGCTCTGGGTCCCCAGGCAGAGGGATGCAGACCTGAGACCTCTCACGATAGGTCTAGGGTCCTGAGAACCCACCCTGTGGTGGTTTCTTCCATTCCGTAGCCAGGTTTGGATGACACAGCATCCCCAAAATCCCAACAATGAGGACCAGGGTGCTGGAGACCTCAGCCAGTCAGTGACATGCCCACACTCACCACTGACTGGCTGAGAAAAAGAAATGCAGTTGGAGGCTGAGTGTAGTTTGTGCTCTCATGGGCACAAAATGTATCACCGAGACCCTGTTATAAGAATATCATGTTAGAAACCCTCAGTGTGCTGGGAGACACTCAGGACTATGTGTGCTTCTGAGGCCTGTTTCAAATCCACCAAAATGCATCAACCCGGTTAAAGGCAGTATTGTCTGTGCTCCAGGTCAAAATACAGCAAATTAAGTACAAAGAGATTCCTTGTCTTGAAAGGCTCCCATGCCCAGGTAGGACAGTGAATGGTGGGGGTGGAGAGAGACCCACACAGGCCCCAGACTGAACAGCACTGTTTCCATGGAAAAGGAAGAACAGGCCTCAGTGGGAATTCTCCCGTCAGCAGGAGAGTTGAGGCATCAAACCTGAAACTGAGACTCGGTTTGAACAACAGGCCCAATGGCATCCTTATCCTAATCCCAGAACTTGTGACCATGTTACCTTACCCAGCAAAGGGGCCTCTGAATATGTGGTGAGGGTCTTGGGATGGGGAGACTGTCCTGGGCCACCTGGGAGGATCCCTACAAGAGGGAGGCAGGACGGTCCGTCAGAGACTGGAAGATGGTACCACTGCTGGCTTTGAAGCATGACCTGTTTATTGAGGACAGTGTGTGCACGGTGTCCGGAGGCCCTGCATCCCTAGTCGCTCCCCCCTCACTCGCACAGCTGAGAGCGGCTTCCTCACGCCCCTTTACCATCTTCAGAGCACACGGGCCTCACGCTTGTGAGCGGGGAAGGAGACAGAGTTTGTAATCGGGCGGGATGCTGGCAAACCCATTCACGATGGGGGTGAGGTCAATATCCTTGGGGTCGACGAGAGACTTCAAGTTAAAGTGCTGAAGAATGGCAGTGAAGAACAAAAACAGCTCCATGCGAGCCAGGCCTTCTCCAACACACACCCGCTTCCCTGCAGTGACAACAGTATACATGAGACAGGCGGGCGGAGGCGGGATGGGCCCCTCTCTGCCCGTTGAAAGGAAGCACAGAATGTATTTCAGGGTAAGAGTATCAGTAACACATATTCAGGGACCAGCCTTCACACACCTCAACCACCAGGACGCAGCCGCCTAAACCCATGGGAGGTTGGAGAATGGTCTCTGCCCACCGCATGCTCACCCACGTCCCACAGGCAAGAAGCCAATGCTATACCATCAGGCGTTACAGTTACCGAGCTGGTTATAGGACCTTCCCTCACACCAACAGCTGAGAGACCCAGGCCCAGAGGTGACAGCCCAAGAAAGGCTGAGGGTCCCATGATGGCCCAGGTAACCAAACGTTACATTCTGTTTAGTAGCAGACAGAGAATTAGGTAATATCATTTTTGAAAGATTTTTTTTTTTACTAAGTTCTATTAAAGAGTTTTAGTCCTGAATAAAGTGAAATATCTACTGTTCGGAAAGATAATCCATCCACAGCACCTCATTCCCAGGACTTCTGGTGAGAAGATGTCATTAACCTCTCTGAACAGGGAGGCACACATTTGGGTCACATTGTGAATAAGGACGTGATGCGGGTCTGAGATGATGGCAGGGTACCCCGGGAATTCGGGACAAATCCTGGGAGGGTGCTACAGCTGAACTCTTCTTACCTGCGGAAAATGCCTTGAAATAGTCACTGTACTTGAACTTTCCTTTTTCATCCAGAAAATGCTCTGGCTTAAACTTGTCTGGGTCAGGGAATTCTTGTTTGTCAAACAAGAGGGAGTCCAGTGTCGGAATTAGGACTGTGCCCTAGAAGAACAAAAGCTTTCTCAGTCAAGTTAGCAACGCATGGGCTTCGATCTGGAGGCCCCCAGTGAAGAAGGGGGTTTTGCATTTTACCTGTGCAAGAGGGAAAGTGTTCAGTGGGGGACTAGATAGGAAGAACTCAGGTGTCAGGTCTAAATAGCAGTGGGAGTGCTAACCTTTTCACTGGAGTAAAGGGCTGGTTGTTGCTGTTTGTTTTCTGGTGTTAGAATATCCCACCAACAGTCCTGGCCAGTTTGTTTGGCTCAGTGGATAGAGCGTGGGCTCACAGACTGAAGTGTCCCAGGTTCAAGTCAGGTCAAAGGCACGTACCTTGGCTGCAGACTCCGGTCACTTGCAGGAGGCAACTAATCGATGTGTCTCTCTCACATTGATGTTTCTCTCTCTCCCTTTCACTCTCTCTAAAATTCAATGGAAAAATATCCTCAGGTGATACCACCAACCCCAGGGACTATCTCAGGAGCCCATTTTCCATATTTCCCCGATCTCTGTGGTCACCAGGTCCACGTGAGGACGGCTAGGGAAGGGGCACCCTGCAGCCAGGGGTGCCCGAGCCACATCTGCCAGAAGGAGTTGTCCTTGGGCCCTCCATCCTCTCCCCGGGCAGGATAGTGGCTGAGCTGGTAGGATAGCACTAGGGGTGTGCAGTCCAGCTCACATCTGACCTTGGGGATGATGTAGCCTCTGAACACTGTGTCCTGGGTTGCTTCGTGATTCAGGTTGGAGGGCAGGAGATTGGTGAACCGCTGAATCTCATGCACCACGGCGTCCATGTAGGGCATCTCTAGCTTGTCCTTGATGGAAGGGATTCGGTTTGGCCCAATCACCCTGTCAATTTCTTCATGGAGTTTCTCTGCCAAGATATGAATGGAAAGGTGTAAAGGACTGACTCTAGGCTGGCTCAACAGCCAGCGAGCCAGCCAGCCAGCCAGCCAGCCATCTAGGGAGCCCTCCAGGCCAAGAGTGCTTCAGGCTGCCAGGAGCCGGGGATTGTTGGACAACCCCTCCACCCATGTCAGCGAGAGCTAGGCTCGTCAGCTTCTGGTCTACAGCATGTTTTGGCATCCACTCTTTTTTTAGTTATTATTGAGGTAACATTGGTTTGTAGCATTATATATACAAGTTTCAGGTGTACAATGTTAAAATTCAACATCTGTATGTACTACATTGTGCTCATCACCACCCATCACCATACAATTAACCCCTAACCCAGGGGATATTAACACCTTATCATGTATGTGACTTGCCAATATCTTTTCCCATTCTGTAGGTTGCCTTTCATTTTGTACTGTGCAGAAGCTTTTTAGTTTGATGTTCTATTTATTTTCACTTTTGTTTCCCTTCCCTTTGGAGTTAAATCCATAAAAACATCCCTAAGACTGATATCAAAGAGCTTAGTACATGCTTTCTTCTTCATTTGTTATGGCTTCAGGTCTTAGGCTCAGATCTTCAATCCATTTTGACTTAATTTTTGTGTATGGTGTAATGTAGTGATCTAGTTTCATTCTTTTGCATGTGGCTATACACTTTTCCTAACACTACTTAACTATACAGATCTCGTCCTTTTCCATCTCCTCTTTTATGTTTTTTGTTGCCACAAACTATCCCATTTTATGCTGTGAGCTTGTTGCCAAATTGAAATAGCTATAGTTATTTTTAATGCGTTTCCCCCTTTAACCGTCATGCTGTAATTTAGTGTTAAACACCCCACTCTGAAATAGCTTTGCAATTTTCTGATTCCATCTGTCTCTTCTCACCTTACTTGAAGTTGTGTGTAGTTTCATCTCAGGGAGAAGAGCTCTTTACATTTCTTATAATGCAGGTCTAGTGGTGGTGAGCTCCTCAGCTTTTGTTGGTCCGGGAAGGCCTTTATCGTACATTTCTTATAATGCAGGTCTAGTGGTGGTGAGCTCAGCTTTTGTTGGTCCGGGAAGGCCTTTATCTCCTTCATATCTGAAGAATACCTGTGCTGGATAGAATCTTCCTGGCTGGCAGTGTTTATTTTTCAGTATTTTGAATATGTAATTTTACTCACTTCTGGCCTGTGGAGTTCTGCTGAGATATCTGCAGATAGCCTAATGGAGGTACCTTTGTAGGTTACTATCTTCCCTCCCTCCCCCAGTTGCCTTTAAAATTCTATGTCATTAACTTTTGGCAGTTTTAATATAATGTTTTGGAGAAGTGCTTTTTGTGTTGAGGTAACTAGTTGTTTAATAGCTTCCTATACTTGTATGCCCAGCTCCTTCATCAGGTTTGGGAAGTTCTCAGCTATTGTTTCTTTAAATAAGTTCTGTGTTCCCTTTTCACTCTCTTCTTACCTGGGATACCAAGTATCCGATATTCCTTTTTTTTTGTTAGTGAGTCAGATAGTTTCTTCATTTTTAAAATCTTAAGTCTCTCTCCTCTTTCACGTGATCATTTCTAGATTTCTGTCTTCTCTCCCCTGTGGTCTGCTCTATTTCCAGGGCTTTCTGATGAGTCTTCACCTCATGTATTGAGTTCTTCAGCTCCAGGATATCTGTTTGGTTCTTTTGTAGAGTTTCAGTCTCTTGGGTAACGTGTGTTTCTGTTCATTAATTTTACTTGGGAGCATATTAAATGGTCCTTCTGAGTTTTCTCAAAGCTTGCTGTTTCTTCATGCCAGCTATTTTGAATTTGCTATCAATTCGGTTACAATCTTCTGTGACTTTAAGTTTGACTTCTGGAGAATTCTCATTCTCATGGTGTCTGATGAGTGGTTCCTCTGCCAGTGCATTTGGAGTAGCAAACAGTTTTCTTATTTAGGTAAAGCGTTGTTTACTTTAATTCCAAGATTCAACAGGTCGGTGATTAGAGACCTTATTCTGTCTTCCAGTAGGTGGCGCTACAGCACGCGTTTTTGGTTTCTCTTATCTGAGTTGCTTCACGTTTGAGAGGTGCCACTACCCCCTCCACTGCCTCTGCCAGAGGTGCTGCCCTTGCTGTTCTTAATGCCGCTAAAGTTGCTGACGCCTTGCTGCTGATGACGTCATTGTGGTAATGGGCATCGATGCCAAGGTCACGAGCCTCTCTGCTACCAGCAGGGTTGTCAGGTTTGAAGGCGCCACCACAGTCACGGGCAGGGGCTGAGGCCCTGGGCTCCGCCTTGGCAAGGGGGCTGGGTTGCAGGCCTGACCTCCACTACCACTTAGTTCCTTGTTAGCGTCCATTCTCTCATCTGATCAGGACGAACTCAGCTCTTGTCTTTATGTCAGAAATAGAGATTAACCAAGTGGACTTGGAAATCTCTATTGGGAGAGGAATCTGTGTGTTAATGACTTCTAAGAAGTCTGACAGTGAATGGCAGAATGAAGACAGACATGCATGTCTACTGCTTGGAGAAGTCCTTGGAAGCAGGGGTCTGAAGTCCCCGTTTTTCTCGGCAGAGGTAGCGGCAACCTTTGGCAAGTTGCTTGGCCTCTCTGGGTCTGAGGTTTCCTGTGGGCCTTCACAATATGTAGCATGAACTGCAAAATTACATCCAGTATGGTACCAGAAGAAACATGTAACACACGTAAACAATACAGATCGTACGCTGATACTTAGTAAATGCTAAACGCACAAAGTCATGCCCGTGTAGGTGCTTCCACACTGTGGGAGCCATGTCTTCTCCTCCAGGCACCCGGAGTCGCACCTACAAGGAGTGAAGGGATTCCAGGGCAGCGGGCAGCCTTGGGAAGCTCCTCCCTAGGGCTTCTTTCTTCTGATCCGCATTCCTCCTCGCCCCTGCCTGGCCCTCCCTCCCTGCTCTGCCCAGAAGGCCAGGTCTTCCTCAGGGGGGGTAGGCGATGCAGACATTATTTTCAGGGTCATAAACAGGTCCTACTGTGGAGCAGAATGCAGACGGCATCGACTTTTCCCAACCTGGTGCTGGCTCTCCTTTCCTGTGATCCGGCTGTCAGTGGGTAAGGAAGGATGGGTGTTCAAGAGTGCCAGGTGGCTGTCATGCACAAGGACATGTCCCCTCAAAGAACGTGTCTGATGTCCTGCAAGGGTTAACAAGCAGCGCCACCTGCAGACTGAAAGCTGACACCTAATGCTGTAGGCTGACTGCCCAAGTCAGACAGCCACACGGCCCTGGGCTCCTTGCCTGCCGTTTACATACCTTCCACCTCTGGGTGTTTCATGAGCACCAGGAGCCCGTATTTCAGAGTGGCGCTTGTGGTCACTGTCCCTGCAAAGAACACGTCGGCCACGGTCGCAGCAATGTTGTCCAAGTTGTACCCTGGCTCTGCTTTGTATTTCTCCTGTGGATGTCAGGGATAGACAGGTAAAGGGACGCCTTCAGGCGAATGAGAAAGAGACCCTTGCGCCCCTGAGCAGCACAGAAGTCACAGTCCTGCCAGCTCCCAGGGAGGAAGGGGCGGGTGTGCACACGGCCAGCCAGAAAGGTGAGGGGCAGGGCTCCTGGCCCAGGCCGTGGGGCTCTGTGCTTTTTATAGCACCGAGGGCTTTCCCGGGGCGAGGACCAGCGATGTAGCTGATCCTGTGTCATGACCTCCTTCCGCCCAGGGCTGAGTTGTGGGGCCTCTGCTACAACCCAGCGCCTTTGGGTCCCAGGAGGCAGGGGAGCCAAACACCTGGAAAGGCAGTGAGAGGGGTCCAATCGATGGAGATTCTCAGATAACCTGGGGCCATTATCCAGGGAAGTCACATGCTGGTCTAGAACCGCAGTGACTTCAAAGGACAGAGGTGAAGTGTGACCTATGTGGGTTGGGGGTCCTAAGAAGCTGTCAGGTAGATAGATGCTGGCCAGGCCTGGAGCCCCCTGAAGTCATGCACAATTGGGAGTTCACATGCTGACCAGGAACGCTGAGGGCCTCTCCCCAGAGGAGACACGGTTATGATAAGAAGCAGGTGTGGCTCCGTTGGTTGGGCATTGTCCTATGCACCGGAAGGTTGCTGGTTCAATTCCCAGTTAGGGCCTGTGCCTAACTTGATTACTTGATTCCCTATGGGGGGCATGCAGGAGGCAGCAGATCGATGTTTCGCTATTACATCCATGTTTCTCTCTCTTTCTCTCTCTCTCTCTCTTTCTCTCTCCCCCTCTCTTTTCCTCCCTCTCTCTCTAAAAATCAATTTTAAAAAAAAAAAAAAGGAAGCATGGTCTGGAGGGAGCTGATGGGAGGAGTCTCAAAGTGTGTTCCACAGCCCCTGACAGCTTCCCCAAATAAGACCACAGGGGACGGCTGTGTGGTGTGGAAGGCAGCCAGGTAGGCTGGCTGTGTGGGAGCAGCGTATGTGGCCACACCGAAGCCAGTGCATTTGTGTAAAACCAAAAGCATCAGAATGTACCCAGTGTGGGCAGTCTGGGCAGCAGCAGTGCAGGTTATAATATAAATCTGACACCCTCCCCCCCCACCCCACCCCCAACCAACCATCTGGGAACACCAAGCACTCAGCTTCCCGGGGCCTGGTGGAGGGTACCTTCTCCATCTCCACGAGCAGGCAGTCAGTGAAGTCCCGGGGGCAGCTGGGGGCCAGCGACTGCTGGTGCTCCTTCAGTCTGGCTAAAGCATAGTCTTTTAGTTCAGACACGTTTTTCATTACTTTTCTATGGCTTCCGGGCAGGTAGTTTAGAAAGCTTGGAAAACTATTATGAAGCTAGAACAATAAAGAGAAAGGAGAGAATTTCTTCATATATATATATATATTCCCCCCCGGATGCAACACCATTTTGTGTACTGGACTAATTTTCTCCAAACCTAAACGTATGGCTGCTACCATTGTGTTGTGTGATATCTGGGCCCACGGTATTATTTGGGCACCCCTCTGTTAGGCAGTGCTCCTTCTGTGGGGGATGTGAACACAGCGCATGTGTCCAGCGGGAACTAATTTGAAAGAGTGAAACGGAGAGTGTCCGCAAAGGCAGCGCTGGGCCCACGGACGCCTCCGGAAGGAATACTCAGGCCGGGAGTCCTGGCTTTCGCAGGCCTGTCCGGCCGTACAACCCGAGCTTCCCCCTCCTTTTCCTAATGGAATCGATGCAACTGAAGATGAGCGCCGACTAAGGAGTGAAAAAGGAAGGCAGGGGCCTCACCAGCAGCCAGGGAGTGCTGATCAGGTACAAGTTCTCGTTAAACAAGGTCTGCAGCCTCAGACTGGTCCTGTCCTCGTAGTCGAAGCGCTTGCGGAAGAGGATGTCGGCAATGACATTGCAGGGCGCGTAGCCCACCACAAAGGTGGGGTCGAAGGGCTGGCCTGGAAAACGGGGACTGTGAGAGGGAGGCCGCCAGGCCATCTCCTGCAAGGAGCCGCCCTAAAAACAGGGCAATTCTCGGAAGATAGGGATGCTAGGACCTATTCCGGTTTCTTTACTTCTCAGTGATTTGGGTGTAACAGTTACACACGTGACCACCACTGCTGCTCCCCCTGCGATGCAGAGGACCCCGCGAGTCAGAGGATGAAGGTGGCCTTGTGCGCCCAGCTGCTGCAGGGCCGTCCCGTGACCCCGTGACCCCGGGGCCCTGGCCAAGGCGGCCATACGCACCGTTGGTCTTCCGGAGCGCGTCCAGCAGGAAGGGGATCTCCCTCTGGATGCGGGCCTCGTTGCCCTCCTTCCCCATCCCGAAGTCCCGCAGGATGGTCAGGGCGGACCGCCGGGTTTCCTTCCAGGTCGGGCCATTATTGAAAGTAATTCCTGCGGAAGAGGGACAGCGAGGAGTTCCTGCCGACGCCCAGACCGGGCGCCAGGGGGCGGCGGAGGAGGCGGGGGCTCCCCTGCCCGCC